GCAAAGGGAAAGATTAGGAGGAAGTGGACAGAAACGAAATTGTGCGCAAGGAGAGGTCTAAGTGAAGCTTACCCCCAGCGCAGCGCCCGCCCGCCACCGGCAGGAGTGGAACACGGCCAGGCGCGTCGTGACGCAAGTGGGGGCTCAACGCGTTCGGCGGCCGGGATTAGGTTCCACAGGGGACTGCGATCACACGATCTCCGACCTAAGCTCCGAGCAGCTCCAAACTTGCCGAGGGGGCGCCTGTCGCAATTTGGTTATTGAGGTTGAACTGCTCAGTGTTCAATTGATGTGCTCTTTGAAGCCTTAACGCTTGTTTACATCTGCGGCAGCCTGATGAACACGCTACCGCGCGTCCTAACTCGACCGGAGCTCTCCGGATACGGTTAGCGGGGTACTCTGTATCGAATCGAAGAACATGGACAGTGAACAACCCTGAACCCCCACATGCAGCTTCAAGGGTCCATCCGCTACAACACGCGGGGCACCAAATGCACGACACGATGCCAGCAACCAGCTCTGTCCCTGGCCTTTTTCAAAGTTGAGCAACGCTGTCCAACTTGATTTGCAGTATGGCTGCCTAGATAACAGACTTGGTGTTCTGGTATGTGCAGACTTTGGAGGTCGTGCGACCAACCTCTGGCTCTTGTAGATCTTTGCAATCGATCTAAGCGGGGTCCGTATCGCAGAACAACCCATAAGGCTCAAGCAGATGAGCTCTTCGGGAGACACGTCGGCGATATATATATCCCCTGTGTAACTATCATTCAGCGCTTTCGGCTGTCCGGCATGCGCTAGATGTGGCACGTACATGATGCTGTTTCAAGGCATCGACGTGCAGCAGTCCCGAGTTGGGCCGCGCCTAGGTCACCGTCATGCCAGGTTTCCCTCAGTCCCAATCTTCATCGTCAGAGTCGCCTTTTGACTTTGATACGGTGCCTTGTCGAATACCCTTGTTGCCCATCGCCCTCTCCTCCTCCTCGTCTTCAGCCTGTCTGCGTCGTTTGACAACGCGCATATCTGAGTCCTTGACTGCGCCAACCTCGACCAAGAGGTTGTCGATCTGGAGCATGTTTATCTTGACACCTCCGTGCTGCACGAGCGTGACGATCTGCTTCACAATATCACCGTCCTTGTATACCAGAATCGTCGGGCAGTTGCGCTCGGGGTAGTTCTCAATGGCCTTGTCCGCGCGCATCTCGCAGAACTTGATGTCGCCGTATTCCCTAGCCGCTTGCCTCCACAGCTCGGTCAGCACTCTGGACTCGACGTTCGTGCCGAGCGAAGAGGTCAGGTTGACAAAGACGGGTCCGTTCTTAGACGCATCTGTGACTTCGCGCTGGTACTCGGGCTTCGAGATCGGGTACACGGTGCCGTGGAGAGCTTTTTTCGTGAGCGTATTCAGCTCTTGCATCCTCTTCTGACGGTATTGCTCCAAGAACGCCTCGTCCTCGTCGTCCTCAAGCTCGTCGAGCTCATCCAGGTCCTTGCCCTCCAACCTGTTCTCGTGCGCCAATCGTCGACCCTCGAGGATCGCTTCCTCGATCATGGGTGTCGGGCTTGGGGGCTTCTCGGGGATGACTCCATGTTTTCGGAGGATATCGTTCCTGGCGCAAATGTGTCAGGCTTTCGTCGCGGGGCTCTCAAGGAAGAATGGCAACGTACCACTCGGTGTCTGCGTTGGGATCATCGATGGGTACAGCGATTCTTTGGTCTCCGGGGGCAGCCATTGTGACGTGTGTGCAGACGCAGGAGAGGTTGAAGGGATGAGATGGGAAGAAGTGAGGCAATGGTGGGTTGGAAGAGGTAGAAGAGCGACAGAGCGCAAAGTGAAGTTTCGACCGACTGTATCAATGATAAGTGACTTAGGCACCTGCGTAAATTGTTCGGAGCCTGAAGTACCCAACCTTGACGCAATGACACACTCGGGTAGGAATTGCATCGAAGCCAGTAACCCCGCTACCTCACCTTACCCCAAGCTCCAGCTTAGGTAAGGCAGCATGGGCCAAGATTTCGGAGGTCGTCGCTGCCTTCGGAGGATCCGTCACGTGCCGGGGCTGCCTAACCCTCCTCGCTAGTCCAAAAGCGGCGGAGGTCCATGCGTCTCGCCGCCCAGCGAGTCGGTTGGCACACGAACCGAACTTTTTCAGATCTCCCCATCATCGCTCAACCCTCAAGTCTCTGCGAGTGCCAACTGCCTCTCAACACCACCAGTTCCGTCCAAGACCGACCGCACTCGCACCGATAACCGATCAATCCATAACCGATCAGATCAGTCAAGATGGTAAGAGCCCACCGCCGCTTTATTTTACGTGCAGCCCCGTGTGTGTGCATTTGAACAATTTCGCCCCCCGACCGACGGCAAATCGAAAAATCACGACTTGGGCCCGACCCGCGACGAGAAAAAAAACTTTGGAAAGAGGGGGAAAAGATGGTACGGCGGGGAACTCGGATGGACACGACGGACACGCACGCCGATGCAAACACACACGACGACTGCGCACGCGCGATCATTTGATGATGGAACCATCATGCTGATGGCTTCTCTCCCAGGTTCTCGCCGTTGATCTCCTCAACCCCTCCCCGGCCGCTGAGGCCCGCAAGCACAAGCTCAAGGTACGCCCGCCACTCCGCACCACCGCCAACATCACCACCCCTCTTCCATCATCACGACCATGATGTGCTCACACGTTGGACCCAGACCCTTGTGCCTGCTCCCCGCTCCTTCTTCATGGACGTCAAGTGCCCCGGTTGCTTCACCATCACCACCGTCTTCTCCCACGCCCAGACCGTCGTCATCTGCCAGGGATGCACCACCGTCCTGTGCCAGCCTACCGGTGGTAAGGCGAGACTCACTGAGGGCTGCTCCTTCCGCAGAAAGTAAACTGTCCGCGAGGACGCTTTTCTTTCGACAACAAAAAAAGGGCCCTTGGGTGTTTTCAATCTAACGACTTGGACGGTTCATCAACTGGTGGGACATCTCGGATCTGCAAAAGCAAGCGACCTGGGCATGGGCGTATAGACAACCCTGGCACAGGCTTTTAGAGTCTGCTGTCTCCGAACAGAACATAATCAGACACCTTTGCGGATAGAAGATGGAACATCCAAAAATTCCTTTTGACCAAATCAAAAATCACAGGGGCGTTTGGGGTCTCCGGATATCCTTGCATCACACACGCAAAACGAATCGAATGCATTTCTCTTACCAAAAGCACACAAGAACCGCTCTTCGTCGTCGTCTTCCTCTTTCCTAACGTCGTTCTGCGTTTACGCCTGGAGTTTACGTCGTCGTCTTCTCTCTGCATGGGGTGGACAGCTGGAAATGGCTTTTCACATGAGCGTTTGGGGTGGTCTTGCGATGACCTGACCTGGACGTGAGGACGTGGAACCGCTGATTGAGGATCGCTTCATACCCGAGTGCAGTGAGTTCGGAGGAATCAGCACTGCTTGCGAAATTCAATGGTTTCCACAAACGCCGGACCCCCAAAATGTGATTGTGGTGACCGGTGAAATGCAGTGTGTGGTGTCTTGTGAGGGTGAAATGCTCGTGTGTCCGACGTGTTTGCTACATGCGTGCTGCTTGTCTGTTCAAGTGTGTGTACCTTGATAGATCTGCGACGCTCCACAACCCACCCGCCCACTTGGTTTCTCATCTTGATGCATGGTGTCGTGATGAAGACGTGCTCATGTGATGTGGCTCGAGTGTCTATCCTTAAGATTTGTTTCATGCCGTCGGCCCTTCCGTACAATCGGCGTCTTCGGATTCTAGAACTCTGCGTCTTAACTCACCTCAATATCTAACCCGACTGATGAGCATTCTCACTGTCATACACATGGCAGAGAAGTATGCTTGGTATGGCTAACACGTTGAGATGGGGCACCGTTAATCTGCTCTGATTTGTTCTCACAGATCTGGACTGGTGCATGTCTTACTGATTGATAGCATTGGCCACTTCAGCCCCAAGATAACGTCCGCCATCTTGCTGCAGGTTACACCGCCGGAACATGGGTGTTGGGGGAGCTTCTCCTCACTGATGCACACTGCCCTCGCTCGCTTGGTGTAAGTTGGCCTCGGTTGTGCCACTCCTGCAAATCAGCACCGTTTTCACACAGGATCACCCATTGGATGCGTCACCTCGCCGCTGAGTTTAGGGGGGTTCTCAAAAAGCAATTCCTGCTCAGTGCACAGTGAGCTGGCAACGGAGACTTGAGAGCATGAAGCACCCGCAACGCTGGCATCCCAAAAAACGATTGCGTTTCGCAAACTGCATTTCAACGGAAGGAAAAAGATGTTTGGACCCCGAAAATAGACGTGCCGGAGTCCATGGAACGGGTGCATCCACTTCCCTGCCTTCCCGGCCGGGCCCAAGCCAGTTTTTTGCCGCTCACCAACGCCGTCGTCAGCGTCCCCGACGATTGGGTAGCGAGGGAATGGGCGGCGGCGCCAATCACCAGGAGGCCAATGTCAGTTTCAGTGCACATGGTCTCCATAAAACCTGCTAAAGTGGCCCACCTCACGCGCATTCTTCGCGAAAAAACACGCCCAGACGCGATCAGCTGGGTCTTGCGGATCGTCAGCGGGCTCCTGCTTCACCTTGGAAACGCCGCCAGTGACCTGGCACCGCAGAGCCCAGCCCCCGCCGCCGTCACTTCACCTCACTCCACGTCCCCTTCCAATTCAACTTAATCTCCTCCCAACCACTTCTCCCCTCTCCCTCCTTTCAACATCTCCCCTCTTTCTCGCTTCTGCACGTCATACTTCAATCGCTTTCCGATTGTTTCTACGGTTACCGTCGTTTTTTAAATTGTCCGACAAAGAGACACTCTCCACTCTACCAACCACCAAGAACCCGCATCCCACGATCTTAGCTTCCTCGACCCTCCGAGCTAAAACGCTAGGGCCTCGACCTGACGAACGACAACCTCTCGTCATCATCAGCCAAAGCCTCAAGCAAACCGTAACCGTGGCCTGGTCTTTCGACCTCCCCATCCGCTGCACCATGTCGGCCCCAAGAACGAAGCGTCCCTTCGCCGGCGCCTCAGTCGACCCCTCCCAGCGCCAAATCACCTCCTTCTTCACCACCCGCCCCGGCCCAGCGCCCGCCGGCCCTTCACCAGCCGCTCCCGAGAACAGCCTCCCCTCGGACGTCCAGTCCAACCTCATCTCCGTCGGCATGCGCATCCGCAAGTCCGTCCCGGAAGGCTACAAGACGGGCACCTACAGCAGCTTCAAGCTGTGGAGCGACAGCTCCTCTGTGTCTGGCCCCGCCGTCGTCCGGACAACCCCGACAGGCACCACCTCCCGCAAGCAGCGCAGCGCCGCCTCCTCTCAGCGGGAGCTCATGCCCTTCTGCGGCATCAACAAGGTCGGTGGCCTCTCCGCGCAGCCCGTGACCGCCGACGAGGACGAGTTCTCCGACAACGACGTCCCGGGCCTCGACGACATGCCCGGCCCGAGCAGCTCCCAGGAGAGCGTCGAGAGCGTCGAGAGCACCGCCAGCGACGGCCGCAGTCGCAAGCGCTTCTTTGACGACGAGGAGGAGAGCGATGCGCCCGTCAAGATGTGGGCGAACCACGATGCGTGGTTGGAGGGGGCCATCAGCCCACGCAGCCTTGCGCCGTCTGGCTGGGCGAATGCGAGAACTCTTGCAGTCCCACGCAAGAGCCGCCGCGGCAAGAATGCGGGACAGGAGAACCTGGTCGTCGCGGACGACTTTGAGGATGCGGATTTTCTGGTTACCCCTGACACAGATATGAGCGATGCATAGAGGAGCGGAGGTTTTTGGTTTTACTGTACGATGTTTCCATGGGCGCAGGCGTGTGGAGTTCACTTTCTTTTTGGACGATTCAGGGGATGGATGCATTTGTACTCGGCAAGAGCTGCTTTGAGGACGTCTGCATGGATTTATCTCTTTGCGGGAACAGGATGAGTCTGCGGAAGGTTTTGAGGTGGACTGTATTATGTACGCCCAGAATGGGTTCTTGTGCCACCACTGTTTGTATCGATATCATAGGCTAGCATGCTACGTTTGGGGGCTCATCGAGCCACAAATTGTACACACTTTCCACCAGCGATTTACCTCCTCTCTCGTGATATTACATACCTGTGAACGGGTCCCGAAACTCCAGAAGGTCCCTCTGCCCGTAGAACTCACCCGCAACTGTCAAGATCATATTAAGCGTGGCTCGCATGTTCATCCGCGCACGCAGCTGATCCGACATGTCTTCGTCGTCAGACTCGGCCTTCTCTGCTGCCTCAGCTGGCACGTCTGCCGCCGTCGTATCGAGCTGAGCAAGAAGGCGAGCTCTAGCCTCCTCCAACGTCTCAGCAGGTGCAGACTCTTCCGCCACCTCACCTTCGTCTACCTCGCCGTCTTCAGAAACATCCATCGGTTCAGACGTTTGATCGTCGTCGACCTCTCCGTCCTCAACCCCGCCTTGCTCAGCGGGCTTCTGAGGCTCAGCATCCTCCCCGTGCGTCTCCTCAGCGGGTGCCTTAGTCTCGCTGTCAGGAGCCGGCGCTTCCCCGTCCCTCTCCTCAACCTCCATCTCCCGCATCACGTCCTCGTCGTCCGAGCTCTCGTCAACGGCATCGTGCACCCCCAGATCCATCCCCTCCTCCTCCAACGCGTCCCGCAGCCGCGCCATGTCCGCCAGGCTCTGCATCATCAACACCGCCCGCCTCCCTAGGTCCCTGACCCACCCAATCTCCGCGTGGTTCAGCTCCCCGCGCTCCGGCAGCCGCGCCAGCAGCGCCCACAGCCACCGGCTCGTGCGCTCCCGCAGCTCGTACCCTCTCCTAAGGAACTTGCCGCCCAGCAGCACCCGGATAACCCGCAGCACGCCGTCCTTGTCCATCGACGCCACCTGCGCCGGCATCGGGTCCGACGTCCGCAGGCGCTGCGACCAGACGGAGAAGGTGGAGGACTTAGGGCCGAAGGCGCCGACGAAGTGGCCGTGGCTCTTGGGGAGGGCGGCGACGACGGAGGCGGGGGGTGTGGCGTGGAGGGTGCCGCGGAGGAAGTTGAAGCGCGCGAGGATGGAGGCGAAGTAGGCCTCGTGCAGGACAGCGGGGTCGTCTTCGTTGGGGTCGAAGTAGCCGTCGCCGCCGTTTTCTTCTTCCCACTCGCCCTCTTCATGTGTGCTTTTGTCGTTGGCCTCTTCCCAGTTTGCCGGGCGGGCCGTGTATGCGCCGTCGTGGTAGTATCCCCTGAAATCGCCCTGGCCCGAGGTGTAAATTTCGCGGTCCTCCTCTACGTCTTCTCCCTCTGCAGGCTCTTCCTCTCCGTCTTTGTTATTCTGGAGTTCTTTGGGCAGCTGTGGACCGATCGGGATCTTGGGTGCGACGAGGAGGTGCGGGATTCCGTTCGCTTGCGTCCTAGATACTCACCATCAGCATTCGGAACGCTAACTTTATACACGCAAGTTCAGCACGGAACAGAACTTTGAGCAGAGATAATGGAAAGCGACTCACCTTACGGACTTGAGATACGCCATCGCATCTCCGTCGTCTTCAAAGTCGAGCTCGGGGTCGACGGGGACGGTCGTCGCGCTCTCTGTGGCCGAGAAGACGTATTTCTGGCCCCATGTCGGATCAATGTGGGCGTTCTGGTGTTCGCGAGGCTTCTTGCTGCGTTTGGGAGCCCGGTCGGTGTCGGCGTCTGACGTGTCGCGGGATCGTTTGGAAGCCATCTTGGCTTGGGGAGTAGTTGCTGGGAGGGAGGTTGTCTCTTGGGAGTTGAAGTCGCGAAATTTCGTGATCGGGAGCTCAGGTCAGTGACGATGAAATGGCTAGCGCGTCCACGTCCCAGGAACTTTTTAGTGGGGCGGTTTAGCCTTATTTAGTGGGTCCCACGCCGTTGAGGCCGCTCACCGAGCCCGTTTGACTTCACCGGGGCCGCTCCCAGCTCCGACAGCGGTTTACAAGTCACCACCGATGCTGGAAGAATACAAAGTTTCTCTAATTATCCTTGTCTGTCTTCAGCTCAGCTATGAATCTATTCTGACCCGTGTGAGTGTGCTGACTGATGCCAAGGATCATTCGGACGAGCTTCGTAGCTCCTACATTAACTTAGACGGCGCAAGAATCCTAATGAAAGGTATTGACATTTCATGAGCCCAACCATTTCATGATAATCATGCTCAATTGAACTTCTCATATATCTTCCTGGATTCATGGCTCCTCTTGGGGCCTCAGGTCTTTGTGGTCAAACTGCTACAACAGCATGAACAAGACGAGAAGCTCGATAAGTACTGCTTTTTGACATCTGTATTGCTCCCAAACAACTTGGCAGCTTTTATCCCGTATAATTAAGTACGCTTTGCGTTTCATTTCATAGGAAGTCGTAGGCTAGAGCTCAGATTATAAGTCGTGAGGAATAAAACGCAAACTAAATAACCGCTTTAAATTGAGAGAAAGATCACACTGGATGCCATTGTCAACGTTAGCTCTCGTATCTGAGCGCTACTAACTATACAGATAATAGGATTTACCAGCTATAAAGCCATCTACGAGCTTGACTCTTCCTCTTTTTTTTTTTTTTTTTTTTTTCCGAATTTCTCGTTGATTTTTCACTCGTTCTCGAAGCGTTTTAATAGCCTATGCTTGAAATTGTCACCTGATGAAGCAGTGCACATTTTCTGGATACAATGTGATTATTTTCGAAAGATTAAGCTCTTTCGTCTTAATGATCGAATGAAGGAACTCATAAGTCCCTCCATTTCAATATACTGGCTTACATTTGTTTACAAAAACAAAAAAGAATTACGAAAATACTTAACTAACAGCTTTAACGCAGTACACTGCTAATCAATATGTCTGCTTGACTACAAACCTTGAAAATGGCATAAAGTCTCTGCTCTTGCGGCTTGAATCTCTTCATTTGGCCCTGCGATCCAGTCGATATAAAGCTATGCCCAGTGCAGCTTCTTCTAAAGAGAATGGAAGTATGTTAACATACGGAACATGGGCTGGTTCTGCTTACGATGTTACGGCGGAGCCTAAGTACTTCGGTAAGGTTAACGGTTTCCAATATAAAAGAGAAGCGACCGCCTAAGTTTTCTGTGCTGGAGTGACTACTGTATGCTTAATTGCTCTTATCGAAGACAACGACGACGATAGCAGTGAAGACGCTGATAACGACGATATAGGTAGAGAAGACGACGACGACGGCAGCGACGACGATGAAGACGACGGTAAAACATAGAATGGTACCACAGGAAGGATGGTCACTATAGCATAGGAAAAATAGGCGGCTCGAAAGAATATGAGTACATGTAGTAAATTAAGACGCGAAAGGGTTTGATGAGTGTTTGTGAGGCGATACGTCGACAGGATCTAGCTGGTCAACAGGCCAAATCAAAGATACCTAGAGTTGTTCACACGTAGTCTCTGAAGTATCGTGTGGCCCGAATTTTCAACCTGAATGATGAAAGTCATCTGATAAACGCAATCAAGTGAGCGCACCGTCGCATCAAGCATTTGAGAAAAGCGACCGCAGTAAATGCAGATTGTATCTCATGCAGACTGCGATTGGTCATGGTGCTAAATACTGAAGCTTCGGGTGAGAGGTCTGCCCTGGGCCGCCCCTTCCTTTCACCCCTCCTTCCCAACGGCTCTTTCCACCTCACCTCACCTTCACCTTTCACCCACATTCCATATCCTTCCATCCCGTCTTTGATAAAGGGGCCTTTCCTGCCTGCTGTCATCCGACGGTCGAGAGACATACCCTCCCACCTCTTCCGTCCCGCTTAGTCCAGCGGTCCGATTAAAGAATGGTAGAAAACCTCAAGAGACGTCTTGGTTGGATTTTCATAGGTTCTCGAACTGACGAGTTCGAGAACCGAACTTTTGACTCTTTTTCTTCTTCTGTCAAGAACGTCTGATGTGTACTTCCGAACGAAAAAATCCTGTACATGTAAGCTCACGGATCAAACCGTGCGATGCCCAAGGCTCGGTATTGAGCTGCAGAAGGGTGTCTCTGATGTCAGTGCAGGGGACCTAGCAGCTTCCCCACGAAAGCTCCTGCACCTCACCGACCCTTCACCGAATTTAATGTTAGTGAAGCACTACTATCACTGAAGTTCCATAGCTGTTTCCCCCGATTTTAATCATATTATTTTCTTTAACAACGCTTCAATTGGCAACAAACGCCCACCAGTAATTATATGATCCTTCGTGATAAGAGCAAAGAACTCGGTGCAAAAGGTCGCCACGACGTCCTGCAAATACAGAAAGGTCCCCAACTATCGCGCATCCAGAGCTAGCCCCGAACCCTGGTCCCAGCTCAGAACCACACCCACGCCAACCCGTCAACACCATCCAACCTTCTTCCCTCATCCACCACAATCGCCATCGCAACTGCAAACATGGCCACCGCACCCCAACAAACACCCTCTCAACCGCCCGCGCCGCCCGCAGACAATGAGCCCGTCTACGGCGGCCACACGCGGTTCGAGATCGAGCTCGAGGTATGTTGTCCCCTCTCTTCGCGCCCGCCCTCCATTATCGCGAACAGCACTGACCGTCGCGCCAACAGTTCGTCCAATCCCTCGCGAACCCGTACTACCTCAACCACCTAGCCACCCAAAAGCTGCTCACTCGCCCCGAGTTCGTCGCGTACCTCGCCTACCTGCAATATTGGACCCGTCCGCCTTACCTCAAGTACATCATGTACCCCGGCCCGACGCTCAAGCACCTCGAGCTGCTGCAGCAGGAGCAGTTCCGACAGGATATCATTAGTCCCGATCTCGTGTCGAGGCTGATTGAAGATGGCATGAAGGCGCCGGTGGAGTGGCACCGCAGCGAGGCTTGAGGCGTAGGACGAACGATGACAGAACTGGCCTGGATTCGCGCTGTTGAATCTCACGAAGGCGTTCTGGGGACGTCATACGGACCCTTACATGTCTTGGCACGCGGCAGGAACCAGGCGCATTGGATCTCAGCATTATTGGTGAATGGATGCGAGCCAGAGCTGGGGTCAAAACTACAGAGCCCTGAAGCGCCGCAGCCGCATGCTGTGGCCTACGCAAGGCGATTACTATCGCTGATTTTGGAAGCGCGCGAGAAGCATGCACATCAATGCCAATACAGACGTGGCGCACAGAGGTCAGACAGGTATATGGGAAATGGCGTCAAGCAGGTTGGCGACGGCCGGACGTCCAACATGGTTTTATTAAACCAGCTAGAGAGAGCAAGGCAGAAGACCCCTCGATACCCTCTCCCAGGCGCATTAATCGCGCCTCTAGTAAAGCAGATGAATATTCCCCAACGCCACGCAATGCCAAGTAATGTAGACCAACGACAACGCCCTCCTTAGTTCTCTCTCCATCTCGTTCCGCAAGTCATGCACTGTACTCTGTTAGCATATTTTCCTCCACTCTGCATGGCACCAACGGCGACGTACCTTGAAGAACGTAGTCATAGGCTCATCAGCAGACCGAATCTGGACCTGGAAGAAGGCCGCCTCCTCGCCGTTGCATCCATCCTTGGGGCACTGCGCGCGCGCCTTGTCGGCGTTGTCCCACTCGCCGGGACCGCCAAAGACGTCCTCACGCTCCTTGCGCTCAAATTCGCGGCGCGAGTAGATTGGCTCGGTGATGGCGTGCTCGAAGGGACAGGTGCGGCACTCGAGGCGGTTGCGGACGCCGGCGTAGGCGGAGACGGTCAGGATGTTTGCGCAGTTGGGGCAGACTGGCGAGACATAACGTTAGTCGGTGTCGTCGCGTAAAGGAGACGGGGGACTTACAGAGCAACATGTTGGCGGCTGGAGCTTTTCAGCGTATCAGGTGGGAGGTGTGGATAATGCGGCGGCTATGCTGCTGCTGTTGAGAGGAGTGCGAATGCGCAGCAAGCATGTCTCGGTGACTGTCGTGATCGTAGAAAATTCAGCGGGTCGAGATGCGACGGTGGGGGACGACGAAGTCACACCTCGGTCAAGACTCACCACCGAGAAAAGCTTGGCAGCCATCACTCACCTTAGGACCCGACCTTGACTGGACTCATCCCGCCGGATCCCGCCCAAATAAATCTCCGTGCCCCTCTATCCTTTCCATCGCTCCCCCGCCTTACCCGTCCCCTCGACAATTAGCGCCTACCGGCGGGGCACTCCAACCACTGTGAGCTGTTACAACGATCCTTTGTCCTCTGTAAGCCGCCGGCGGTTACGTACCACACCCGCTAAAAGAAGACAGCCTCCAGGGGTCGGTAGATCTCACTGCCACCTCCTGGGCCCGGGTCTTCCCAGCCAAACACCTCACGTCTCCCCCAATTACGTCCCCTTGACCCAGATCTGGGCCAACCACCACTGCCGAACACCTGTACCTTTGACGGGATATACATCTGCCTGGTCCAACTGTCTCGCCTTGCGTGCGCGCGAAATCTGCATCCTTTCGTTGGGCACATTTGCATTTCGCGATTTTCTTCCCATTGCGACGGGCAAATTACGTAGGCCTACCTTACCTTACACGAACGAACGAACGAACGCAACGCAGGAGCCCCTCCTCCTCCGACTTCACCGACAAACGAACCCAACTTTTACCCCACCAACCGAACCTACCTTTACCTTACCTGCACCCATCCCACTCCAGCACGGTGCCATTTCGAAACACATCTCTCCCCCGGAATCCCAACGACGTCAATACCTTCGCGAGGGCCGACTGATCATGGCGGGTGACAACGAGGAACACGAGGTAAGTCGCTCATGTCGCCAATCTGCCTGTTGCCCAAAAGATCAAGGAGGGGTAAACTGACATCGAACCCAACACAGGGCGCCTCCGTCAAGGAGATCCTCATCGAGGCCTGCCGCCGCAACAACACCGACCTCTTCAACGAAGTCGTCGCCGACATCAAGGACGAGGACGAGCTCTCCCGCATCCTCAACGAGACAACCACCGTCATGGGAAACCACCTCTACCACGAAGCCGCTTCGCGGGGTAACTGTACGCTGGAACCCATTCCAACCACTGCTCACTCGTTTCCAACCACAACACCCTTCCTCCACACACATCTACTCATTATCTGTCCATCCCACTAACACACCCGTCCTCCCGTAGACGAAATCATCGACCTCCTCCTCGACCAACCCAACTTCGAATGCGACCCCGTCAACCGCCTCGAGGGCGACACGCCCCTGCACACCGCCATCCGCTGGATCAACTCGGAACCCCCCGCCCAGCGCGAGTTCGGCAACGCCCTAGTCGACATGATGCTCGAGGCCGGCTCCAACCCGCGCGTCAAGAACAAGGGCGGCCTCACCGCTCTCCAGCTCGTCGACCCCCGCAACGCCGCCCTCCGCGACCTCATCCAGAAGCACGAGTACGCCTCCCTCAACGCCGGTGACTTCATCAACGTCGACTCCTCCGCCGCGGCCCCGAAGGGCAAGGCGCCCCCCGTGCCCAACCACGTGGCACCGCCCGTGCAGGACGACGAGAGCGACGACGACGCCGAGTTCAGCGGGAGCGACGACGAGGAGAGGGCCGAGTGGGAGCGCAGGCGGAAGGAGAGGGCTGCCAGGAGGGGCTGATGACGGCTGCTACGGCTACGATGGTTTGAGTGGATTTTCAGTTTTATTGCATTCCAGAGGACGAAGGGAAGACTTCCGGCATATCTTGCATTTGGAGAGGACGCGCTATCCCTCCGTCCGGGCGGGTATTCGGGGAGAAGAGAGAGAGAGAGATAGAGAACGCAAAGCTGTGAGATACAGGACGGGAAGTACAAACAAAACCAGATTCACGGGAGGAGTCAATTTCTTGGTACAAGTTGCGTAACGGAGTGGTTGGAGGGGAGAAACACATGTTAGACTAAGGTATCGTCGCCGTTTCGTCAACCCTCGAGGGAAGTCTTTTCGCAAAACAAAAAAATATCATAGACATTTCAAATGGTCCTCTGCTTGGGAGTGATGGAGAGTAGTCTAATGGCCACCGTGAGGTGCTTATACCGGTTTAGACGGGACCGGAAGAGAGTGTGAGATTACGTTATTACAGCAATTATCAAAGCATCGAGTCACTTTACTTGGAAGTCTTCTTCACTGGATTGGGACCAAGAAAAAAGTTGCTAGTTTCTGAGCGCCGTCAACGCAAGATGCAGAATAGTTCTGGATGCATGCGGCTGGATCGGAGCCGCTGTTCCAGTGCCACTGCGTCGGATACCGGACCCGAAAGCCAAAACCGACGTACCTGAGACTAAGTCTTCACCGGAAGACGCAACTACTTTCTCGAAGTTACAATCCAAAAGGTCAAATACCAATATCAAGGAAACAAATCGAAACATCCACAAAGCACCCAAACGTGAGTATACACTTGATCTATTGTTTGATACAGGGTATGAAAGTTCTAGGTACGTGGAGGAAAGAAATGTTCGCTGTTGTCATTGTCGACTCACACCCTCGAGTCCTATCTTTATCGTCTACTTCGTACTTCTCGTTCCACGGCTCGTGTTATCGTTCTAGGGTATCCCAATGCTTGAATCCAAAAGTAAAACATGACTCATTGCGCGGGTCCTGCCCGTCATGTTCGAAACGAAGAGAAAGGCCGCCAAATCGCTCAGATAGCCATCAGCAGAGCGGTTACAGCCGCTGCACAGACGGCCCATGCCGACTTGGACGCCACACCCGGAGCGGCGTTCTTCTCACTCTGCGACTCTATGTAGGAGAGGTTCTTAACCAGATCCAAGTTCTTCTGGCTCAAGTATCCGGCGCTCGCAAGCTCGAAAAGTTGGGGTCCCATGGTGCGAAGGATGTTGGTACTCCTCCCCGCCGGACAAAAGACGACCTCCCAGCCGCCGCCGGATGGGATAATGAAAGTGGATGTTTGGTCATCAAAGGCGAAACTGTAAGCGTCCGGACAAATTGATTTGGCATGCTTCGAGTACAACCCCGGCTTGCACTTGTTGGGGTCGTGCCACGATCCTATGCAACAGTCCTTATCCGAGTTGGTGGCGGCACATTGACTCTTGCACGGGCTAAAGTCGGGACGCATGATGTTGTCATCGGGGTAAGGGTAGACACCGTCACCAGGCTTCTCCGGTGGCATGGAAAGAAGGGGCCAAGGACACCAATCTCGAGCGCTATTATTCGTCTCGGTCGGTTCCCAGGGGACGGGGTAGGTGGAGTTGGTATAAACAGTACCACTCGCTGCGGTGTTTGACAGAAGGCCGGCCGTGGCGATGCAGGCACAATTGGTGAGGTTGGGCGGAATGTATGAGGTGTTGTCAGCGGGGATGTAATTGATGCCCACGGGGATGTTGTAGCCGTCGACGAGGGAGATGTCGTAAAAGGTCTGTCTCCCAGAAACGCCGCCAGCCAAGTTGAACTCGGCTAGTGTTGCAGGAACGGCGCCCTGTCCTCATTAGTATTTCACAGTGCCGCGCGAACCATGATCACTTACACTGAACTCGCAGTTAAGCTTTCCGAAGCAATCGCCCGTCGTGCAACCAGCCGACTCCCCATTGACAGTGCAATTGGTTCTTCCCCACGCTCGGCCTTGCCATGTCGGACCGACCCACAGGTCCCGGCTTTCACCCGCGGCAAGTTCGAAACCCCCGGTGCCGGGGCCGACGCCGTGCTGCGTTGTGATGCCTGGCCAGATCGGTTCTGAACATGTGTTTGTGATCTTCAAGGGTATCCTCCCGTTCCAATCCTCGGGTGGGCCTCGCCTGGCGGGGTTGTAACGCTTGTTCAGTGACAAGTAGTCGGTCTTGTAATTCGGATGTGTGCTTGGGAAGACGATGGCATTGGTGGTTGGGAGCTGCGACGCGAGGGCCAGCGCAACGAAGATGTTCCGGCTGGATGTCGTTGAGCGCCCGTCGCCTTTCCTCGACCTCGACGGCACCTGTCTCATTGTCTGCGTATCGGTCGTCTGCGGTCGAATACCCAGACAGTTCAAACAAAGAAGGATGATTGCAAGAATCAACAGCGGTATCGATTCGTGACTTGCAAGAGTGAAGGTGTGGTCTATGCTGGGATGGTGCAACAGTTCATGGTTCAGAGGCCCCAAGCTTCCATGGTCCGGCGAGACGACGATCGGGCAAAGATATACGGGCGGCTTCTGCGAGGTGGTGATTTGGTGCCGCAAATAGCTCGCAACGGACCTGCGCCGAGTGACGTACAGCGTGTCGTCGAAAGAACGAATGGAAGCAAGGGGCGGCGAGGCCCCAAGAGGTGATCGGCCTGCTTGATCCAGGGCCAATACCTGATTATCCCTGTCGACGCGATATAGCGTCAGAGGGTGCCGGGTCGGAGCTGCAGGTTGGTTGGACGGATGACACAGGAACTGGGTCGTAGGGCAGAAGGTAAAAAGACTGTTTCAGGCGCTTAAAGAGGGTGTTCGTGGAGCTAGCGATGCAGAGAGGCGGATAGGGTGTTTAGAGGTTCGCACGCTCGTTGTTGAAGATGGAAATGGTTCTGTCCGCCGTTCTCACGTTCTCGACACACGCGATGGAAAGGGGGGCGCTAGAGAGCCGCTGCCTCCAACAGCAGCCGATGGGGAGCACCAACCCATCCCATCGTCGCCTGCCCGCCGGCGCTTGTCGACGTTGCAGTTGCAGGGCCGGACCTTGGGTCGAACCTCTCAGCGGTTCATGTTCAGACGATGACGCAGGTGCAACTGGCTGCCCAGTTTCCCGTTGGAACTGCAGGGTCCATTTCGGGTAGTCAACGACCGGGGCCTTCCCTGCTTGGCTTATTGCCCCGCGCCGTTCTGGTCTCAGCTCCACCTGCAAGCTGATGTGGCTGTGCCCAAGATTGTTAGAAGCGGTCAGC